AATGAAACCTATTAAATTGAATTGGTTGCCGTGTTTTGCCCACAGAACCACGCAGTCAATTCACTTTACAGTGTATCCCGTGAAGCACTTTGGGACGTCGCAAAGACGTGATAAGGCTCTGTATCAAATGTAAGGATTATTACTATATTTGAACTAAACTTTAGAATTTAGGAACCACCCCCAACAGACAGATATTTTCAAAATCATGATATTTCCAAAAGGTAACTAGTAATAAAATACTGGTCAGCGATCAGTAAACCAGAGGACCCCAATTTAAGAGAATCGCAAAGGGAATTAAATGATTTTTAACTTTGTGATGGGCCGCGGGATGACATTGGTGTGTTTTGTTCTGTTCTGAGCATTCCTCTCTTCTTTTGAACTGGTCCCACACACAGGTCTGGACCTGCCGGTAACGCTCATTCTCCACAAAATTCATTCCTGTTTAGTAAGACTAGCATGAGCACGCGGGAATTTAATTGATTGTCCACATAACCCGGAGTGGGTTCAGGGACGGAGATAAAGAAAGTACCGAGAAATTGTATGAAGTCTCTCTATTTTAAGTTTGTGGGACACTGCTGTGTGCGATTGGCTGCCGCATTTCGCCCTCAAAATATACAGTCAATTCACTTTAAAGTATATTCTGTGAAGCGCTCTGAGACGTCTCGAAGATGTGATGAGGCGCTGTGTCAAATGTAAGGAATATAAATTGATGTCCCTGCCCTATCTACCCACCCCCACCGACAAGTTAGCTTTCAGCCAATCTGTCCTTGCTTTATGGAACACCATCCCCGGTGTCCCCCCATCTGATCCTCTCTCTCCCCACCTTCAAAGCTACCTCCAGCCCACCTCCTTGACCAACACACCTCTGGTCATCTTTCCCCAGCCTCTTCAACTCCTAGCTCAAGTGTCCAGCCAGCAGCTGTATAATCTGCTTTGAGACGTCCTCCCACAGTGAAAGGCTCCATATAGAAGTAAATTGTATTTTATTTAGTGTGCGCGAGTTTGAGAGAGAGCGAGCGAGAGAATTTCTTGTGGTTAAAGGCACTGCCTAGTGTAGCATTATCGCATCAAAATGTCTCAAACCAGTCAGACGATGAGTTGCTTCAAAGTGTAGTGACTGTTATTTAGTTCAAACTCAGCAGTTTATCTGGTTTATGATGTTCTGCGTACACGCCCAAAACGATTAAATCAGTGCTTTGGGTGACTATAGATGAGGGGGTATATCAAGCCAGGACACTGGATCACACACTGTTGATGCCAAGTTAAAACAGGGTCGTCCTATAGTGCCACAGGAACTTCAAAATCGAAGGGCACTCAGTTTAACATCTCTTCCAAAGCACAGCACAGCCGACGAGGCATTTCTGCCCCAGTGCAGGACTGGAGCATCAGCCTGGACTGTGAGCTCAAAGTTCCCTCTGCGAAAACAACGACTGGAAAAGAATGAGTGTTAGTTTGATCACGTGTGGACTGTTTGAGGAACGCCCTGCCTGCCTGCCTGCCTGCCTGCCTGCCCACACCCCGCCACATTTCCTGTATGACAGCTGCTCTCCAGTGAGTCTTGAGCCGTTCTTATGGAAGGAAACCGAGGCATTGAGCAAAGGCTGCCTGCATTGTCCCTGGTATCCCGGCAACTTAGAAAAGCTCCAACTGAGGCTTGATTGCTTTATGGTGCATTAAATGCAGTTTGGTTCCTTTTTAACCCCACCCCTGCCAAGTGATGTGTATTTAACCCTTTTTTAACAAGTACATATCAAAAGGGCTTTGTAGACGATTTGTGGGTTGGGGGGGGGTGGGGGAGAGGAGAGAAGATATCATTTTATTTTGGAGTCCTGTAACGGATTGTTCAGAGCACTCGACTCACAAGCAAGAGAGCAAGAGCACCCGGGATCGATTCCCGGGCAGGGCACGACCTTACTCCACACACTTACTTCTATTTATCCAGCAGTAAGTAGGAATCGGGTTGTTAGTCGATTGGCGGATTGATTTTCCAGGGGTAATAACCCTTTATAAAAATGTCATTCATTAAGCAATTCACTTTACAGTATATTCTTGAAGCGTTTTGAGACGTCTCAACCATGTGATAAGGCGCTATATCGTATGCAAGGATTATTATAATTATTATTATTTATTTAAAACCAAAGAATGTTATAGCACAGAAACAGGCCATTCAGGCTATTAAATCTTCACTGGGCACTTTCTCTATATGAGCCTCCCAATTCATCCACAAGCCAGGAGACGCGCTGAATACCAGGCACCTTAGCTCCCGGTGTCCAAAGGGCCAAAAGAGAGACTTGCACCCGATCAAACACAGCAAAAAGTTTGTGGCATCTGGACATGGCCACATCAGTGACGGGAGTCTTTCAAGGCACTGCCGATAACATCACAGCCCAGCCTGGCTCATCGGCAGGACTTGGAAGGGCAGCGTGGGCAAGGACTCCTCCCTCTCAGTTCCTGTTAAACCTGCAAGCCAAAGCCCTCACGGGTAGGTTTGTCCTATCTTGAAAATAATAGTAATAATTTGGTCACTCAATCCACGACTGTTTGGGGGACACCAATGAGCGCAATCGGCTCCCGCGTTTTGCCCACAAATTACATAGTCAATTCACTTTACAGTATATCCTGTGAAGCGCTTTGAGACGTCTCAAAGATGTGAATAAGGCACAAAATCAAATGCAAGGATTATTATTTATTAAGCAGCGGGAAAGCTTACCAGACAGTGATATCAATGGTAAGCTATGCAGGTTTAGCTGGTTAGACGCCTGCAGTTACCCCAACGCACAGGTTGTTGCCAACCTGCGCCTAATACTTTCTGGAATTAGGTAAGCAGGGTGTGTCCCTCCAGGGAGAGAGAGAGAGAGAGTGCAGATTCCATTCCGACAATCTTATCTCTGGGATCCAGGTGTAGGTGCGATGCATGGAATTCTCAGCGTGGTTTGGAGACTCTTAAGCAACGATGATGGGTTTCCACATGTGTCAGACAGCCGGATGACCAACAAAAAAAAATTAGTGACATTTCACTCGTGTGAAATTAATGTTGCGCAGGGACTGAGATCCTCACAGGGAAACGATTTTTCCTCAAAAACCTGTCAGGCCGGCTCTAGCTCAGAGGCGGATGCATCTTGTTGAGTTTTGGTTTTGAGTTTCGAAGCTCATTAACCCCCTCCCTGACTGCCTTAGATCTGCACAAAGTGCTTTCAGGCTGAAGCTGTAACGACCCAGAGATTGAACTGAACAACAGAAATGGAGTCCTGTTGTGTAGTGGTTAGAGCACTCTCCTCACAAGCGAGAGAACCCAGGTTCGATTCCTGGGCAGGGTGAAACCTTAGGCAAGTGTCCTTACTCCACACACGTGTCTCTGTTTTCCTAGCAGTAAGTAGGAACGCGGTTGTTAATCGATTGGTGGATCGCTTTCTGGGGGTAATAATCCCATCAAAAAAAATTAATAATTTGGTCACTCAATCCAAGACTGTTTGTGCGACTCGGCTGCAGTGTTTTGCCCACAAAATATACAGTCAATTCACTTTACACTTATATTCCGTGAAGCACTTTAAAGCGCTATATCAAATGCAAGGATTAGTATTATTATACGTGGTCTTGCGACTGGAATTCCTCCTATGAACTGCGCTCCATCATTGGATACAGGGTATTCCTCATTCGCTCTGTCCACAATTCATGGTCGAGCCCACAGACTCTGCAGCTCTTCCCTCACCCAAAATGCTTTGTCTTGCTCCTTATCTCTCTGCCTTCAAAACCCTCCATGCCTTTGGTTAACAGCTTTGAATTCTACTCCCTCTCCTTCCAACTTTTTTTTGGTTCCATAGAGCGCTTCAAACGCACAACTACAACAACAAATTACATTTGCACAGCGCATTTCACGTCGGTAGTCAGGGATTTGGACCCGAACTGGTGGTTGGCATCAGGAGGGATGGAGGGCAGGGAGGGTGGGGGTAGGAGGGTGACCGCAGGCGCTGTCGAAGAGGAGGGTCTTGAGACGGGCCTTGATGGAGGCAAGGGAGGAGGCGAAAGGAAAGGACTGTGGGATGGAGTTCCAAAGGGTGGTGGCAGAGAGGCTGAAGGTCCGACCGCTGGTGGTGGGGCGGGCCAGGCGGGGGACATGGAGCAGCCTGTGTGGAGTGGAGGGAGCAATCTGTATGGAGTTAGCAAGCCACAGACTAGAGCAAGGTGTGGGGTTTTGAAGGCAAGTATATGTGCAAGTTGCTGTATGTTGCTATGGATTCCAGTGTATTGTTTTGTTTCATTGGAGCTGCATTCCCACACAGTTTCCATCCCAAATCCTGTTCAAAAATATCCCAGACGTAAAGTTGAAACTTCAGTTTCCTTTTAATTACAAGGCTACAAGTCTATGCTTGTTGGCGCTCCTTTTAACGCTAGGCTGGCAGTCTCTTTGGGTGTGGTTGAGAAGATAGAATTCAACTTCCTTTCTCAAAACACCGGGTTGAGGGACACCTTGTAAAAGCAACAATGACAAAAGTGAACTAACTCAACCCTCCTCCCTGCCTTCATTTATATTAAAATTTATACAATACAAAATGACATTTGTATAGCGCCTTTCACGTCGGAGGACGTCCCAACATGAAATATTCTGTTTACTTAGCAGTAAATAGGAACCACGTTATTAGTCAATCAGCGGATCGCTTTCCAGGGATAATAATCCCTCCCAAAAATAAATACAAATAATAATAATTTGGTCACTAAATCCACGACTGTTTGTGGGACCCTGCTACGTGCAATTAACTGCTGCATTTTGTCCACAAAGTAGACAGTCACTTCACTTTACAGTATATTCTGGGAAGAGCTTTGAGACGTCTCGAAGACGTGACAAGGCGCTTTATTTAAATGCAAGTATTATATATTATAACCTTCTGACTATAGGTGAGAGTATTACTGACTGAGCCAAGTTGACGCACTGTTTTCAGAAGCTTCCTCTGCATTTCTTCACATTTACCTGATTCATTTATTTTTTCCCTGTTTATAATCAGGTGATCATGGATCACACCTAAGTATTCAAGCCGCCTCTGGGGACTCTGTGACTGACGATGGCACACCGATGGAGGAGGGAGAAACGAGTCCGGAGCCAGCTCAGCCCGGCCGGAGGCTACGGAGAGAGGCCTGCACGTGCCCCAACTGCAAAGACACCGAGGGCAGGTGAGTGTCGAGGCTCGGGGACAGCAGATCTTGAGTAATAATCACAACGACACTTACACAGCGCCTTTCACATTGGGTGGACGTCCCAAGGTACTGGACAGTCAGCGATTTGGACCCGAAATGGGGAGTTTGTGATTAGGAGGGGTGGAGAGCAGGGAGGGTGGGGGTAGGAAGTGACAGAAGGCACAGTCGAAGAGGAGGGTCTTGAGATAGGCCTTGAAGGAGGCGAAGGAGGGAGCGAGGCGGAGGGGATCCAGGATGGAGTTCCAAACGCCAAAGGCCCGACTGCCGACGGTATGTTAAGATAATAATATTGTCTTAAACACATCCACAACAATCCCCCTAATGAAGTTGGTGACTCACTCCGTGGCTGTTTGTGGGACATTCCTGTGCGGAATTATACATAGATACATAGACATAGTAACAGGAGTAGGCTATTCAGCTCCTCGAGCCTGTTCTGCCCTTTTATAAGATCATGGCTGATCTATACCTCAAGTCCATTTATCTGCCCTTGCCTCATATCCCTTAATCCCCCTGACCTAACAAATATTTATCCATTGTGCTGCCGCGCTTGCCTACAAAATACAGTCACTCTGTTCCACAGTAAGTCCTGTGAGGGTTTTGAGAAGTCCTTCTGATGTGATAAGGCGTTCTATCAAATGCAAGGATTATTATATAATAAACAAAAAGGCAAAATACGGAAAGTGAGTTAACGTTTCAGTTGGATGACCTTTCGTCAGAGACCTGAAATGTTAACTCACGTTCCTCTCCCCATAGATGATGCCTGACCTGCTGAACCTTCATAGAGACTTCTGTTCCTATAGCAAGGATTATTATTACTTAAATAGATATTAAAGGAAGCCAATTGCAATCCCAGCACTTTCCCGAGTGAGGCAATAAATCTTTGATAAGCGTTTGATAAGCTTGGCATTGACTGACCACAGCCATGGGAAGTGCAGGAGCCCTATCTCTAGAGGAACACGACAAGCCCAGTAATGTCCGACGGCTCAAATTGTCCTTTTCTCCCCCCTCTCCAGGAACTCGGGTGATCCCGGGAAGAAGAAGCAGCACATCTGCCACATGCTGGGCTGCGGGAAGGTGTACGGGAAGACGTCACACCTGCGAGCTCACCTGCGCTGGCACACGGGCGAGAGGCCATTCGTGTGTAACTGGCTGTTCTGCGGGAAGCGTTTCACGAGGAGCGATGAGCTACAGCGGCACAAGCGCACACACACAGGTGAGCTCTCGAGCACGCTTCATGTTCCCGTCACACAATAAGACAATACTTCTCGGGGTGGGGAGGGAGGTAAGTGGGGTTTTCTTGGAGCTGAACTGGCGACGGAGTGTCGGATTCGAGCCAGGCCTCTGTGGCGGTCTCTAGTCCGGTTCCTGAGCCAGGAGGGTCCGCAGTATTCCAGGGCACTGCTAATGACAGCACAACCCAGCCTGGCTCATCGGCAGGAGCAGGAAGGGCAGACCAGTCACTGGGGACAGGAAGTCATCCCACTCAGCTCCTGTTAACCCTGCAGCCAAAGCCCTAACTAACAGGGAGGGTGGTCCTAGCTGGACGAGTAGCGGGAAAGCTTGCCAGACTCCAGCAGTTACTCCAACGCACACTCTGGGGTCCCCAAGCCTTGGTTTTGCCAACCTGCACCTAATACGTTCCGGAATTAGATAAGCAGAATGCGTCTCTCCAGAGAGAGAGGGCATTCCATTCCAGCAATCTATCTCTGCGATTTTCATGTGTAGGTGGGAGGCAGGGAAGTCTCAGCTTGGTTTGGATACTCTTAAGGAGAGTGATGGGATTCCGCATGTGTCAGACACCCAGCTGACCAAACAAAAATCATATAATAATATGTCCCCAAAGCCTTTCCTTTACAAGTACTACACACCACCATAATAACTTATTTTCCTTAATATATAACGATAATAATCCTTGCATTTGATATAGCGCCTTATACATATATCAAAGCGCTTCACAGAATATTCGGTATTAGGACCGCTGCTCTTCTTAATATACATAAATGATCTGGACTTGAGTAGAGCAAGCACCATTTCCAAGTTTGCGGACAACACAAAGTTAGGTAGGGTGGTGAACAGTGAGAAGGACAGGAGCCAACTGCAGGAAGACATAGACAGAATGGTAAAATGGGCGACACATGGCAGATGAGTTTCAATGTAGAGAAATGCGAAGTAATGCATTTTGGTAGAAAGAATGAGGGGCAATATAGGCGGTAATACAATCTTAAGGGGGGTGAAGGAACAGAGAGACGTGGGGGGGCAGGTAAATGAATCCTTGAAGGTGGCAGGACAGGGAGATAAGGCTGTAAAAAGGGCATATGGGATATTAGGCTTTTATAAATAGGGGCATAGAGTACCAGAGCCAGGAGGTTATGATTAACCCATATAAACACTGGTTAGGCCTCAGTTAGAATACTGCGCCCGGTTCTGGGCCCCGCACTATAGGAAGGATGTTAAGGCATTGGAAAGGGTACAGAGGAGATTTACGAGGATGGGACCAGGAATGAGGGGCCGTGATGATGAGGAAAGGCTAAGAGAGGTGAGGATTATTCTCATTGGAGCAGAGAAGGTTACGAGGAGATCTAATAGAGGTCTTCATCATCATGAGGGGATTTGATAGGTTAGAAAGGGAAAAACTGTTCCCACTGGTGGGTGTATCGGTGACTCGAGGTCACAGATTCAAAATAGTCTCTAAAAGAAGCCGAGGGGAGGGGAGAAGACATGTTTTCACGCAGTGAGTTGTTGGAATCTGGAACGTTGCCTGAAAGGGCGGTTGAGGCCGATTCGAAAACTACTTTTAAAAACACGGTGGACGGGTATTTGAGGAGGACACGTTTGCGGGTTATGGGGAAAGGGCCGGGAGTGGGATTGACATCAATTGCTCTATTCAAAGAGCTGCACAGACTCGATGGGCCAAATGGCCTCTTTTTGTGCTGTACGATTCTATGATTCTATGAATATACTGTACAGTGAATCGACTTTATATTTTGTGGGCAAAACACGGCAGCCAATTGTGCACAACAGTCACCCACAGTCGTGGATTGAGAGATGATGATTATTATTATTATTATATTTGAAGGGTATTATACCCCCGGAAAAGTGATCCGCCAGTCGACTAACAATGGGGTTCCTACTTACTGCTGGTAAACAGAGCGGTGTGTGTTGCGCCCTGCCCGGAAATTGAACCCGGGTTCTCTCGCTTGCGAGGCGAGTGCTCTATCCTGTGAGCTACAGGACTTCACTGTATTGACGGGACTCAAGAACGTACCCTCTTCTTCTCCCCCCTTTTCCCTCCCCTCGCCCCCCTCTATGTGCTTTGCCCTGTATAGGTGAGAAAAAGTTTGCCTGCACACAGTGCCCCAAAAGATTCATGAGGAGCGACCACCTGTCGAAGCACATCAAAACCCACCAGAACAAGAAGGTTGCCATGCCCGTCAGCGTGACGGTGAGCCTGGCGTCGGACGTCAGCACCGCCGTGGAGAACGCAGTCTCCACCTCCGCCGGCACTCCCCTGATCTCCGCCACCGGCGTCGTCATGGAGACCATCCCGCACGACGGAATCGCCCGGCTGACCACCGGCGGGATGAGCGTCATGCAAGTGTCCGACCTGCAGACCATCAACATCAGCGGCAACGGGTACTGAACTCTTTCTGACACACCGCAGGCACAAGCAGACACACAACACCACACACCACGAAAGCAAAAAAAAATAAAAAAATACCCCAACGACAAATGACGACAAACAAAAATGCACACACAACCATTGGCGAAGGACTTTTGGTCACTTTAAATCATTTTTTTCATATAGGTACACACACACACATAAAAAAGCCATCGGCCTTGATAAATTCTCTTATCAACGCTCTACTTTCTATATAAAAATCCATTTTAAAGAAAAAAAGACGAAAAAAAACGTGGCTGAAATAAGACGTCACTTTAGATGCCTTAAAACTATACTATTTATCCCGGGACAGGTTTTGAATAATAGACCTAAGATAATCTGCTTTTTTCCCACTCTCTTTTTACCCCCGCATCTCCCCCTCGCCCCCGCCCCCCTATCTTTTAAGACCCATGTACTTTTTTTTGATAACGTTTAGTAAAGGAGTTGTTTGGTTGCTGGCCTGTTATTCGGCGGTGGGGGAGTGCGGGGGGGATTGGTTGAGGAGAATTTGCCTTTGGAGGGTGGACGTGGGGGCGCTTAATCAGAGAATTAATGTCTTTGCTGAAACCATCAGTGAAGAAAAAGCAGGTTTGGGAACGTATCAGGCCTAAGATTGTATTTCATATGCCCTGTTTATACCGGCCAGTGTCTATTTGGTATTGTACAGGGTAGCCCCATTGCAGTCTGATAGTCCAGTTCCATCCGTAAAATAACAGCGTTGCCCTCTTTTAAAATGATGATCTGTTTCAATTCACTCTCTTCGTCCCCACTGTGAGGGGAGACAGGAGAGAAGTGAGGGGGGGCGGGGGGGGGGGGGGAGGAGCAGGGTGCATCACGGCCTAAACACACAACCACACACACACACACACACACACACACACATAGCCTCAGAGATGTGTAGCATCTCTCTCACAGAAACTTCCAACGCAGTTGGATATCAGGGGTGAATTCAAGTACCAACTCTCTCTCCCCTCAGACTGCTGTGTCTGCAGTGGCTTTGCCGTCCCTGTACCCAGAGCCCCAGCTCTTGAGCTGAGCTCAGCCAGAGTTACACTGCGCTGACTCGGACTGAACTCCAGGCGAGTGCAGTTGGAGTACCGGTTGGCAGTTTCCGATCAGCCACCAGTACATAAACGTTTTTTTCGGCGGTGGGGGACACCTTATCTGTACGACACTTTGGCTACAGTGTTAGGTACGAAATTCCAGCTCGTCTTAACCCATGACATGACACTCATTTTGTCTTTAAGACGGCGCAGAATCATGGCTTGTCGGCCGGCTTTTCTTTTAAGGAACGAGGTGGTGAAAACGGACGTATTTCCCCCCAATTCCGCGCCATCTTAAATTTTGGGGGACAAAATTATTTCTGAAAGGGCTAAGACCAAGTGGAATTCCGGGGCTCGGTATTAAATATCGGCTCCCGATCCGAGAATTTGGACCTTGCAGAAGGAGGCCATTCAGAATATATTAACTAACTGGCAGCTCAGCGGATTGCCAGGACCCCCCCACCCCTGTGCATGCCCGCCTCACTGTCTCACCAGCACAATCAATCGATCTGTCGATTTACCAGTAAAAAATAGACAATAATTCAACCTATTGTTTAATCTTGAGGATCACATACCCTATTATAGTTCACTGTCTCCCTCTAAACTGATGTATGAGTGGAACAGAGCTGCCCCCTAGCCGTCTGTTTTTGTTTGGCTTCAGTGCATTGCTCTCTCGTTACCAATCCTTACCAAACTGAATGGATCCACTAAGAATAAGCAGCGTTAAACTGGGTCTAGCTCACACTGTCGGATAAAGAAATGAGGGGATTGATGAGGAGCCTGATTGATGTGATCAGCGGATCATTTCAAGTCACTTTAGAGTGCCGGCAGGTTACCATTCATGGGCCGTGTCACGTAGAGACAGGAGAGCTTCTCCTAGCCTGAGCCTGTAAGCTAGTTTGTCTTTTTAAATTTTTTAAGATGTAAGTGCGGAACAGTGCAAAATGCTTCCAATTTTAATCTGGATTATAGCCCACGTTCTTTTTTAAAACCGTCGGAAAGCTAGCCTCCAGTTTAAATCTGAATTTGAGAGGTTTTCACGGGTTCTGGTGAATTCAAAGGTAAAATGGTGTCACAGGCTGAGACTGGGTGGAATTCCTGGTCCCTGGAGGGTTTGTAGGGGCCTGGGGTAAACACCCGGCGTTGCTGGTCACTGCCGTTGAGCTGGGCACCCGGATAGAGACATAAACACCTGCCAGAGTTGTCGGGAGAGAGGCCAGTAATCTCTTGCCTCTGGGCACGGAGAAAATCTCCTCTCGACTCTTGTGTCTTCACAGAGAGAGAGAGTGAGTGTTCCTTCACTTGTCTTCCAGTACTTCCATCAGTTCAATGAAGTGCGAGATCACACCAGAATCACTGGTACTCTTCAACCTAATTCCTGAATTAGTCAGTCAGTCAGGTAGCAGATTCGTTCTGAATTGACTCCAGAGTCAAAATCCCTAAAGCCCAAACTAGTTCAGCTAAAGCTGGTGTTTCGTGACCAGAGCCTGGGTGGGGGAGAGGAGAGGGTGTAGGGGAGAAGATTGCAGTGCAGTGAGATATTCCAATCAGGTCTTATTATCTGCCTTTTGCGTGGGAAATGTATACAGGGCTGTTTTATCAGCGGCACTGGACTCTCTGAGATCCTGTGTGTACACACACACACACACACTCACACACATGTACACACTGAAACCAAGTACACTCTGAGGACAGCTATGGGATGCACATTTCATTCCTTTTTTGTGAGGGGTGGGGGGTGGGGGATAGGGTAGAGGTGTGGCACAACCAGGGTTTCTGATCATTTTTATTCAACGTGGGGTGGATTAGACATCTTTCTTTTTATAGAACGGGAGAGGGCGGGGGAAGCGTGAGGAATTTCCCGTCGTCGCGCGTAGATTTTATTATAAACAGTAACCTGTGCGAGGATTATTATATTATATTCTTTTTCAAATGTGCGTCGATGTCCCTTTAAATCCATCAAGATTTTAAAGCCTTCCTGACCGACCGTCAGAAAGGCAGATTTAACTCTCTTCCCCCCCCCCCCCCCATTTGATTTAACCTGTTTGCTTGTTAACTGGAAAGCAGAAATGTGAAGTGTGTATAGTAGCGACAAAGGAGCTGTGTTAAAACCTGTGTAAAAAAAAATGCATCCGACTACAGTTTTACAGATAGATGCGAGCTTTTTTTTTACTGCAATTAAGGCTGAATCATGTCTATCTAAAGTGCCCACGAAATATACAGTCAATTCACTTTACAGTATATGCTGTGAAGCGCTTTGAGATGTCTCGAAGACATGATAAGGCGCTATATCAAATGCGAGGATTATTTTTTAATATTAAGAGACCCAGTTTATTCTCAAACCTCAGTCCGGCCTTGTCTGCAGTCATACATACTGTTTTTTTTTACATATATATATATTATATTATATATATTCACACACATATATAAAAAAACAGATTATCTTTCGATACTTGTAAGTTTATATCAAGAAATGGGACAGAGAGAGAGAGAATATGATGTGCATCAAAACACTGTCTGGTTTTTTGGACTAAAAAATTTTACATTTTTTAAAAAAAACTATATAACAGAAAATATTTGTGATTTTTTTTGTTGTTATTACTTATTCACATACCTGGAGCCCGTGCTTCTTGTTTAGCGGGATAGCTTCAGGAATTTTTTTTTTCCCCCTGTGCAGATAATACACAAATAAGTGTTTTTTTTAAAAAAAAGAGAAATGAAATGAAAATGTTTTTTTTTAATTATGTGGGGGTTTTTTTCGGGTGAAGGGTTTAGCTTTAAAATACTGGTGCTGCGGAAAAAAAATACCTTGTTGTACAGGCCACGATTTACACGTGTAAATATTTCTTTTTATATTCGGTTTATTTTCTTTCTCTCGCTCGCTCGCTCGCGCTCTCTTCATAACGGCAACTTATAACTGCGGCGCTAACGTGTACACTGCTCGCTTACGTGCCTCTGGCAATGTTAATCCAGGGAGGGAGGGAGGGAGCTTTATACAAGTGTCTCGTGTCTGTAGATAAAGCACGCCTGAACTAAACAGCATCAGACTCTCCCTCGACACTCTCTCGTTATGCTGGTCACAGTCTGGGAAGTTTTGCAAAACTGGAAGCCGCAAATATAGCTGAGTTTGCGAATATCTCCCGTTACTCTCCCCACACCCCCCCCCCCCTCCCCAGTTTTATAGACTATATGTTTTCTTCTTTGTCACTAAGTAGATATTTTAAGGAGTGATTCAGCACATCGGAGTGGCGCTACTGGTTATAAATTGTCGGCAAAACAAATTGACGGACATTATAGTTAAGTCCTGGGACTGAACCTTGCGTGTTCACACCAAAGAATTTCAGGGATGCTTTGTTCTGTTGTATCGATTGATGACTGACGGAGGTTAGATTAGAAATGACTGTACTGAGTGGGGAAAAGAGCAGAGGATATTTGGTGTTGTGACTGGGCTAGGGCTTCACCACGCTCACTGGGGGGGGGGGGGGGTGAGAAGTGGGGATCGTGCCCTTGTTTGCACAGCAAACTCCAAGGTTCACCGCCTCTCTGTGACATAATCTCTGACACATCAATGATACAGCTCACTGACCCCCCACGGCCCCTCTTCCTCACAAGCCTGTGGACAATTCCACAGAAGAAAAAAGTCTTCTCAAGTTTAAAACAGTGTTCGTACCATCACATCTCTTCCCCCCACACAACCCAACCCCACACCCCACAGTGAAACTTCAAAATGAAACTTCATCAAATTGAACTCAAAATGCCATTGAATAGGATTCTCCGATAACAGGTTAAATCTAACAGAGACTGAGTTATCGGTCTAATTGTATTAATCTAATAATAACAATACAGTCCATCCACTTTAGAGTATATTCTGTGAAGCACTTCGAGACGTCTCAACGATTTAATAAGGCGCTATATCAAAGGCAAGGATTATTATTATTAGAATCTCTCAGGCGAGGCCAGTCACATTGGCTTTCAGACTGAAACGAAACAGAAGGGAAGAGCCCTATACAGTACAGTATATTGTTAATTTGCCAAAGCTCTGTGTCCAGCACACATAAGAAGCAGTATTTCTTTGGGATTTTGAGAGAGAGAGAGAATTTTTTTTCCAAATCCACAGTCAAGCAGTTGCTTGATCCCATTTTCTCTTTTTCCATCTCAGGCTCGCTCACTCGCTCTTTACAACAGCAACTTATAACTGCAGAGTAACGTGTAAACGGCTAGCTCATGTACCTCTGGCCATTCCAGGGAAGGAGTAAGGCTGGGAGGGAACGAGGGCTGCTTTGGTGTCTGGTCTGTGCCATTCTATGGAGAGCTTGGATCAGTACACCTCAGGGAATCCAGTTCTGCTCATACCTAACCCTGACCATCCTATTACTGTCTAGCAATGAAAGGCTACACCCAGCACTGAGAGCCACAGTGAGGGAGGCGGCAAAATGGCCGACTGCGTCGTGAAAGGAATGTTTCGCAAGTGTTCCCCCCGCCAGGGCTTTGCCATTGTCTTAGCTCTCGTTGGTATCATTGGTGTCCCGCAGCATAGTAGTTAGAGCACTCACCTCACAAGGTAGAGGACCTGGGTTCCATTCCTGGGCAGGGTGAGACCTGAGGCACGTTTCCTTACTCCACGTGCCTCTATTTGCCAAGCAATAAGTAGGAACCTGCTTGTTAGATGATTGGCAGATCACTTTCCGGGGGTACTAATCCCTCCCGCCCCCCCCAATAATAATTTGGTCACTCAATCCATGGCTGTTTGTGGGACGCTGCTGTACGCAATTGGCTGCTGCGTTTCACCCACATAATATTAAGTCAATTCACTTTACAGTGTATTCTGTGAAGCGCTTTGAGTCGTCTCAAAGAGGTGATGAGGCGCTGTATCAAATGCAAGGATTAATATTTCTGAAAACACAAAGTCACTGTACTTCGTCGTTGACATCTTTTTGGAACAAATGCAAGTTGTCGTCAGTTGCTAAACCCAGTTCCTTGCATTTCTTTTCCCCCTCACCCTCCGCCACCCAGCCCTCCCGCAAAAAAATTAGCTCACCGGAACTTGACCAGGAAAGATAAGCAATAAGAAGTTCAGAAATCTTCAGCGAGAAAGTCACGCTGTTGTCTGTATTGTTATTAATCTGACTTTCTGTCTTTTCCTCCACTTCCTTTAATATTTCAACTGCTCAGGTGCTTATCTGACACTTTGTGTGCCAGTATGTTATACATACTGTTGTTCCATCACACTGCCAGCAAATCGACTACAGTAATTCCCTGTAAAGCTCTTGGAAGCTTAGCCACGTCAGAGGCGCTGGATAAAATGCAAGGATTATCATTATTATATGGCATTGTAACTATAATAATAATAATAATAATAATCCTTGCATTTGATATAAGGCGAATCACGTCTTCTAGATGTCCCGAAGCGCTTCACAGAATATACTCTAAAGTAAAACTGCACAAAAACTGTTGGCACACACAACTTACCCCTCCTTTCCACCACCACCCCCCCCCCCACCCCCCCATCATCCGTTCTCCCACCAAAACACCTTTTTAAATTGTATTGATTAAAACCATTGGTCTTTTTAATGAATCTACCATTGATTCATCGATTGAAAATTGCTTGTATTACATGAGCTAATCCGATCTATTGGTGAGAGCATTCTTTACCCCCTGTCCCGTTTCCCCCCCCCCCCCCCCCCCCCCCCCCCACCACACCCACACTGCAGCCTCCATGTGTTTGGTTCTCCCCATCACATTATCCATGTTCCAGCTGCTCGGTCAAGACATCTCCTTTGAGTTAAAGATGAGCAAGTTAGCACATTCCCTGTATAAATTAAGCATTGATTATGGCGTCCTGTAGCTCAGTGGGTAGAGCTCTCTCCTCACAAGCGGGAGGACCTGGGTTCGATTCCCAGACTGGGGCGAAACCTTAGTCCAGACCCCTCTGTTTACTTAGCAGTGAGTAGAAACCCGGTTGTTGGTCGATCGGTGGATCACTTTTCTGAGGGTAATAACCCTTCAAAATAAATAAATAAACGTTTTTGAAATAATAATTTGATCACTCAACCCACGACTGTTTGTGGGGACGCTGCTGTGCGCCATCGGCTGCCCCGTTTCACCCACAAAACATACAGTCAATTCACTTTACAGTCCAGTCTGTGAAGCGCTTTGAGACGTCTCGAAGATGTGATAAGGCGCTGTATCAAAGGCAAGGATTATTATTATACTGCCGCTCCCTGGCTCTTCCTGCCTGTGTGTGTGTGTGTGTGTGGGTTTGGTGCCCTGTTCACATCAGGTGCTCTCACTGCAGTTAAATTGCTCCGCTCTGTCCTGTTATTTCATCACATCGCCTTTAGTCTGTTTTCCCATCGATACTGTGCTGCATGAGAAAATACATCTGGAAAACACAAACCCTTCCCGGGTCTCGATTGTCTGACACCTGTTGTCTCTGTGGCTGAAATGTGCCTTTTGTCGCACACACACACACAACCAGTCCTCAGTTTCCTCTCCCCCCTCCCCCCCCCCCCCCCCCCCCCCCCAATTCCCGGCAGCTCCTCATCTCTTTAAAGAGTTTCTTTCAAGTCTGTAAATGTTCAGAGCAAATGTTTCATGTCAACAGGGGCTGTAAGACAGACAGACTGACAGGGTGACAGACAGACAGGGTGACAGACAGACAGGGTGACAGACAGACAGACAGACAGACAGACAGGGTGACCAAAAAGTCCTGATAACTACCTTATTATCTAAAAACAATGAACACAAATCTCACCATTTCCTTAAAGACTTTTATTAGACCTGGTAAATGCGAGCGCAACTTTTTGGTCACCCTGTATTCCGGCCCCCAAAATTTCTCCCACTCTGAAAGACCCCTGCCCGATGGTGGGGGGGTGTTGGGGGAGATGGCAAGCACGGGAAGGCAATGCTCTCTCTCTCTCTCTCTCTCTCTCTGCGTGGGATAGGTTCGATTGTCCGCTTTTTAATTTACTCCAAATTCTACTCGGTTTCGCCCGCAAAACGCACAGCGAAACCCACCTCAAAGTATATCCCGCGAGGCGCTTTGGGACATCTCGATTCGAAGGCGTGACAAGGCGCCGTATCGAAGGCAAGGATTATTATTATAATTTTTTTTAAAAAAATTGATTTAAAATGTACTTTAAATGTTACAGGTTTAAGGCAAAAGTGGGGTCCTTAGGTCCACCCACACCAACCGGGTTGAATTTAAGGTCTTGGGAGTTGTGTTCCATAGCTGAACCCCTTATGTAATGCCCCCAACCCCCCCCATACCCGCCCCCTCCCCCTTTAACACTGGCAATAACGACACATCATGACTTAGCTGTCTATCTCCAATTGAGTGTATAATTCATTTATTTGATTTTTTTTTAATCCATATGATTATGTACTGTCTAAACCTTTACATGCTCTCAGTTGTTTTTTTTTGTACAAAGCCTAGTTTGACTGTAGCGTTGTAGCCTCAATTATAAACCAGCAATTAAAGGTTTTTATTAAAACTCTTGATTTGGTCATTTCTCTGATCGCAGCGCTTTTGAGAATGCTCGACATCACAGGCGCAACAACAACAACAACGTGCATTTACACCGCGCCCCTCGCACAGGGTAGCGCCCTAGAGTGCTTGATGGTGGCAGCGCACCACACGGTCGAAGGGAAAGGTTTTCAGGCACGACCTGAAGATGGGAAAGGAAGGGGCGAGGCGGAGGGTTAGAGGGAGAGGGTTCTGGAGTTTCGGGGCGTAGTGGCTGAAAGCGTGACCACCGACGGTGGAATGGAGGTCATGAGCGACAGATCATTATTATTTCAGTGTACAGGTGAAGATTTTTAGCCAAGACTTTAACCGTCAATTATAATCCTTGCATTTCCTTTTACCGATTCGCACTCTGAACAAAGCACTGGGAGGAACGCCATCCTTTGGCTAAACCCGTTGGGTTTTGTTGGAGGACGTGGTAGTCAAATAAGACCTGTAACTCAGTGGTTAGAGCGCTCGCCTCGTAAGCGAAAGGACCCGGGTTCGAATCCCGGCAGGACAAAACCGTAGGCAAGTTTCCTCAGTCCACACACCTGTTTAGCTATCGGTCAGTAAACACCCGGTTGTTAATCGATTGGCGGATTGCTTTCCGCAGGTGATAATCCCTTCCAAAAAAAATGTCATTCAATCCACGACTGTTTGTGTGGCACTGGCTGCCACGTTTTGCCCACGAAATGCACAGTGATGCCAGCGCTTTGAGACGTCTCGACAACGTGTTAAGGCGCTGTGTCGAATGCGAGGATTATTATTATGTTGAGAAAGTTCCACGATTCCAAACTGGAGCCGAGGATTTCCTGTGGACCTGGAGACCCGACCGATCTCTCGCTTGTCGGAACAAAAGACGAAACGCGATCCTTTTTTTTCTCAAAAATACAATTTTTATTTTAAAAAATATAAGATTTTTGCACACTTCCTTCCGTCTGAAGCACGGCTCCCGCTCACTGTGGGAATCACAGAAAAGCTTCCTCGCTCCCCGACCTGTTCAACACCAACACGTTGCATTTACACGGCCCCTTTCAGGTTGGGAGGACGTTCCCAAGGCGCTGGACAGTCAGAGATTAGGACCTGAGCTGGGGGTTGGGATCGGAAGGCTGGGAGGGTAGGGTGGGGGGGGGGGGTGTGTGACCAAAGAGGCGGGGGAACAAGAGGGTCTTGAAGGAGGTAAGGGAGAGGGGGCCGAGGCGAAGGGACTGAGGGATGGAGTTCCAAAGGGTGGGGGCAGAGAGGCCACTTATCAGTCAGGGACACAGCAATGGAAGCATCAAAAGTGCTGCGATCCCCAAAGGGTCAAACACTACCCATTACTGTGCCTCCTTATCAAGGATCGTGTGTTCGGCCGTTCAGAAGCCTCAGCCGTTCGCGCCCCTGCGCTCTCTCAAACTCGCCCCTCCCTCCCTCTCTCTCTGCCTCCAAACCTTTAAACGGCGGTGGGGGGGGCGGGGAGGGGGGTTGCCACGTTCAACCCTATTTACCCAGCTGCCCCCCCCCCCCCCCCCCCCCAGGTGGCTGTGTGAAGTGCTTTAAGACATCCTCCCGGCATGAAAGGCGCTGTGTATAAATATAAACTCCGAACCGATTTCTTTGGGGCTCTTTAAAGCATCGCAGGAGGGTCAGAGACCAGAGTCGCTGTGATCCCCTACAAGGGGCTGTGATCCCTTTAAATTCTTTTTTTGCTGCCACAAACTCAATGAGGGAGGGAATGAGTGAGAGGGAGAGAGAGAGTGTGAGCGGTAAATCCCTGAGAGTGAAAGTTGCTCCACAAGAGGTCAAGCAGCTCCTGGTATCTCCCCTCCCTCTAAGGCTCGAGTTGTTGGGAAAGCTGGGATAAGATCTGTTCGTTGTCTATGGCTTTCAGGCTCCGCACATAAAGCCGAATGGGTTGAGGATTCTTCACCGAAACGGACTGATCGGAAGCTTCAAAGAATAAAGAATGAACAACATTAGCAAAGCAGTCAGACACAATTACACAGTCACTACACCTTACTGTATATATTCTGTGAAGCGCTTTGAGGCGTCTAAACGGGGTGATAAGGCGCTGTATCAAACGCGAGGATTATTATTATTACCATTACTGTTGTAACTTAACACTGTGACAATCACAGCCCTAACGGGTAGGGTGGCCTCAACTATCCTGTCTACCCCACATCCACGCCATGACCCGCTCTGCCTCCCCCCACCTCCCAACCTCGCCCGGCTCCGCCACTGCCTCACTCCGCAGCCCCCGAGACCCTCACACACGCCTTCATTACATCGAGGCTCGACTATGCAAACTCACTGCTTGTCGGCCCCCAACTCCTCCCTCCACTGACTGCAGCTCATCCAGAACTAACTGCAGCCCGTGTCCTCTCCCACACCAGACTCGGTGACCCTATCACCCCCACCGGCTTCCCATCACACAGAGGATACAGTTCAAGGTCCTGGTCCTCACCTTCAAAGCCCTCCATGGCCTCGCTCTCCTACCTCTGTGACCTCCTAACCCCCTACCATCCTACTCCCTCCTTCCGCTCAGCGGGCTCTGGCCTGCTTCACATCCCCTGCCTCACCTGCCTCACTACTCTGTCCCCACCCTCTGGAACTCCATCCCGCAGTCCCCCTAATAATATATAAGAACATAAGAATTAGGAGCAGGAGTAGGCCATTCGGCCCCTCGAGCCTGTGCCCCGCCATTCGATAAGATCGTGGCTGATCTTCAGACCTAACTCTGATTACCCGTCCTCTCCCCATATCCCCCAATCCCTCTGTTTTTAAAAAATCTCTCAGTCTCAGCCTTGAAGATGTTCAAGGACTGACATCTACAGCCTTCGGGGGGAGTGAATTCCATAAAGTCACTGCCCTCTGAGTGAAGAAATGTTTCCTCAACTCTGTACTAAAAGGCTGACCCTTAATTTTCAGACTGTGACCCCTGGTTATAGATTCTCCCACCGGGGAAACAGACCCTCAGTGACTACTTTATCAGTCCTTTAAGAATCTTATATGTTTCAATAAGATCTCCCCTAATTCTTCTGTACTCCAGAGAATACAGTCCCAGTTTATTCAGTCTATCCTCACAGGTCAGTCCCCTCATCCCAGGAACTAACCGAGTGAATCTACGCTGCACCCCCTCGAGGGCAAGTATGTCCTTTTGTAAATAAGGAAACCAAAACTGCACACAATACTCTCGGTGCGGTCTCACCAAAGCCCTATACAGTTGCAGCGAGACTTCCCTACTCTTGTACTCTAAACCTTTTGCAATGAACGCTAACTGCCGTTCGCCTTCTTAGTTGCTGCTGCACCTGCAAACTAACTTTTTGAGACTGGTGTACAAGGACACCCCAATCCCTCTGAACACTATCTAATCTCTCCCCCTCTAGAAAATAATCTGTTTTTCTATTTTTGCTACCGAGGTGCATAACTTCACACTTCCCCACATTAAATTCCCTCTGCCACCTACTCGCCCACTCCCCACTCTATTTTTATCTATATCCCGTTGCAATCTTTTTGCATCATCCTCAGAGCTCACTCTCCCACTGAGTTTAGTGTCATCCGTGAATTTAGATACGTTACATTCAATGTCCTCGTCTGGATCATTGATGTAAATTGTAAATAGCTGAGGCCTGAGCACTGATCCTTGTGGCGCTCCACTAGTCACATCTCCTGCCAATTCGAAAATGACCTACTCTTTGTTTTCTACCCGTTGGCCACTCTTCAATCCGTGCTGATATGTTCCCATTTATCCCGTGGGCCTTAACCTTGTGCAATAGCCTTTTGTGCGGCACTTTGTCAAATGCCTTTTTAAAATCTAAATACTACGTCTACGGGTTCCCCCCTCTCTAACCTGTTAGATACATCTTCAAAAAACTCTAGAAGTTTAGTGAAGTTTGACTTCCCTTCTGTAAAGCCGTGTTGACTGCCTAATCTTGTTATGGTTTTCCAGGAATCCCATAACGACATCTTTAATTAAGGACTCAAGAATTTTCCCGACCATATTGTTATAATATGTTAATAATTATAATCCTTGCATTCGATATAGTGCCTTATCACTTACAATTATCATTATTATTCTTATTATATGGAACTCTCAGTCTGGTTTAGATTCACTTAATAAAAATTGCATTTAATGCAGCGCCTTTTCACGTCTTCGCGACATCTCAAAGCGCTTCACAGAACATACTGTAAAGTGACTCCAGACCGTGCGTTTCGTGGGCGAAACGCGGCAGCGTGGCGATGGATTCCTGCATGTGTCAGACGCACGGGTGACCAAAGGAAAAATAGTGTGGGATGAATCGAGACTCACTCGTCGAAATCTGAGCAGACGAGATCTCTGGCTCCATCTTCTGGGGTATCACTTGAAATGAAAGGAGAAAACAGTTCAGAGCAGAGACTGAGCGGGTGAAACAACCAGGAGAGATAATCCAAACACTCAATGTGGTGCCTTTAATATTCGATGGCCTGGTGTCAGCCCGGATCACTCGGTTGGTAACAATCCCTCCTCTTGAGTCAGGAGACTTTGAACTCACTGCCTCTGGTTGGAAGGAACGTATTCTGGGAGGAATCACCAGGAATTATAGCACCTTATCAAGTCTTCGAGAAAGCGCTTCACAGAACATACTGTGAAGCGTAGTGACTGTATATTTTGTGGGCCAAACGCGGCAGCCGATTGCCCACAGAAATGTCCCACAGTCGTGGATTGAAGTGACCAAATTATTATTTTTTAAGTGATTATTACCCCCGGAAAAGCGATCCGCCAATCGACTAACAACCGGGTTCCTACTTACTGTTAGGTAAAGAGAGGCGTCTGTGTGTGTGTCTGTGTGTGTGTGTCTGTGTGTGTCTGTATGTGCATGTGTGTGTGTGTGTCTGTATGTGTGTGTGTGTGTGGTGTGTCTGTGTGTCTCTGTATGTGTGTGCGTGTGTGTGTCTGTATGTGTATGTGTGTGTGTCTGTATGTGTGTGCGTGTGTCTGTGTGTGTGGTGTGTGTCTATGTGTGTGTCTGTATGTGTGTGTGTGGTGTGTCTGTGTGTGTGTGTCTGTGTGTGTGTCTGTATGTGTATGTGTGTGTGTGTCTGTATGTGTATGTGTATGTGTGTGTGTGTCTGTGTGTGTATGTGTGTGTGTGTGTGTGTGTGTGTGTGTGGAATAAGGAAACTTGCCTATGGTTTTGCCCTGACCTGACCCGCCCGGGAACCCGGGTCCTTTTAAGACTGAGAGAGACGAGATGGAGGGAGCGGCAGAGGTTTGGGGTAAGAATTGAAGGCTGGAGAGGGGTGGGGAGCACACGACAAGTCAGAGGGGAAGATGGGAGAGACCCAGAGGGAGTGGGAGGGGATGAGCGTTTGGTGCTGTCAGCGCTAAGGAGAGAGACTTACTCTGGGAGTGAGTCCGACATCGTCTAAACAGGTTCACAGTCCGTGCGATCATCCGCTACAACAGAAAAAGACAGTTACCAACAACAGCTTAGAGTTACACAGCCCCCCCCCCCCCCCAGAGCGCTCGACAGAGACGGAGCACGACTCCGAGCTGGAGGGAGGGAAGGAGGAGGGAGGTGACCGAAGATGGGGAAGGAAGGGTGGTGGAGTGGTGGGGGGGGGGCAAGGCGGAGGGAGGGGTAGAGGGAGAGTGTGACAGAGTTTCGTGGCTGAATTAACAAATAACAACAGCAACAAAATTAAATTTCATCAGTGACCTTTCACGCCATCGGGAGAACGTCCCAGAGATACCTCGACAACGATCAATAATAATAATTATTGAGTGATTAACGCGGTCCAGCAATCCACTCACCCCCGGCTCGGGGCCCGAACCCCTGACCGTCCAGCGCCTTTGGGACGTCCTCCCGACGTGGAAGGCTCCACGTGAGCGTAACCTGGTGTCGGGGGTTGAGTCGGGGACGGCTCGGGGTGAAATAAAACGGCCGCGAGTTTATTGTCACGTCAACGAACGGCGCACTCACCATTTTCTCAAAGTTGACGAGGTTATTGACAAAGGTTTTGTTGCCCTCCTCGATGAAGGTCAGGTCTAGAGAGAGGACACAAGTCGGCTTCAGTCACACTCTCTCTCGCTCTCTCTCTCTCTCTCGCAGAGTCTTTCTTTCTCTCCCTCTCTCTGTCTTTCTGTCTCCCTCTCTCTCTCTCATTCTCTCTCTCCTCTCTGTGTGTGTGTGTGTCTGTGACCCTCTCTCTCCCCCTCTCTCTATCTCTTCAAATCTCTCTTTGTCTCTGACGCTCTTTTTTCTGACTCCCACACCCCCACCTCTCTCTCTCTCTCTCTCTGGATCTCTCTCTCTCTGGTTCTCTTTTCTGACTTTCTCTCTCTCTGAGTCTCTTTCTCTGTCTCTCTCGTTGGGTCTCTCTCTTTCTCTCTGACTCCCTGTCTCTCTCTCTCTCTCCCAAGTCTTCCTCAAGTCTCCCTGCGGTGCGGAGAGAGCTTTACACTGAACCCTTGAAGCTGCTTTGGACCAATATTGACCCCGAAATCCATTGCGTAAAAAAAAACAAGCTAAATAATAATAATAATAATATGAATAATAGCAATAATTTATTAATAATAATATGAATACTAATAATACCAATAATAATACCAATAATAATAATGATCCTTGTATTTCACCCACAAATATACAGTCAATTCACTTTATAGTGTATTCTGTGAAGCACTTTGAGACGTCGAGAAGATGTGATGAGGCGCTGTGTCAAATGCGAGGATTATTATTCATTATTATTATTATTTATTGTATTCCGCACCTTTGATCAGCAGAGGCATGAAGGGCAGGAAGGGGAGACTGAGTTTACCGGCCACCATCCTGTAGGCCCTGTGGTTCCGCGAAGGGTCCTGTGGACAAACAGCGTCGCCCGTCAGTGTCTCTGCTTCGCATTCCCTTCCTCTCTCCCACTCTCCCTCCTTCCTTCTCTCCCTCCACCGCCCTCCCTCCCTCCCTCCCTCTCTCCTTTACTCCCTCCCTCCTTCTCTCCCTCTCTCTCTCCCTCCCTCCTTCTCTCCCTCCACCTCCCACCCTCTCTCTCTCCCTCCACCCCCCTCCCTCCCTCTCTCTCTCTCTCTCTCCCTCACTCCCTCCTTCTCTCCCTCTCTCTCTCTTTCCCTCCCTCCTTCTCTCCCTCCACCTCTCTCCCTCTCTCTCTCTCCCTCTCTCTCTCCCTCACTCCCTCCCTCCACCTGCCTCCCTCTCTCTCTCTCTCTCCCTCCCTCCCTCCTTCTCTCCCCCCCCTCCCTCCCTCCCTCTCTCTCCCTCCCTCACTCCCTCCCTCCATCCCTCCAGGAAAGCGAAACCCAATTGACATGAACACAAACCCAACCACTTGGTGCCATCACTTACCATCAGTCTCTCAAAGCTCTGATACACTCGTCTGGTTTTGTTTGTCAGACCCTGAAACAGCCACAGATCGCACCTTAACAACCTCAGCGTCTTACTTTATAATAATATTGTTAATAATAATAATATCAATAGAACAATGATATTAATAACGATCATCATTATATTGTTATTAATAATAAAAATTATATTAATAATTATGTTGTTATTAATAAAACGATGATGATAGTTATATTAATAATAATAACAATCCTCGCATTTGATACAGCGCCTCATCACTTCGAGACGTCTCAAAGCGCTTCACAGAATACACTGTAAAGTGTACAGACTGTGCATTTTGTGGGCGAAACACGGCAGCCAATTGCGCACAGCGATGCCCCCACAAACAGCTGTGGATTGAGTGACCCAATTTTTCGGGGGGAGGAGGGATTATTACCCCCAGAAAGCGATCCTCCAATTGACTAACAACCGGGTTCCTACTGACTGCTGGTAAACAGAGGAGTGTGTGTGTGGTGCGTGTGTGTGCATGTGTGTGTGCGCGTGCGTGTGTGTGCGTGGGTGTGCGTGTGTGTGTGCGTGTGTGTTTGGGGAGGAAGGTTTCGCCCTGACCTGACCCCTCCGGGAATTGAACCCGGGTCCTCTCGCTTGTGAGGCGAAGGCTCTAACCACTGAGGGACACAGGGAGACTCCACAATAACTGGAGGATGTCTCAAAGTGAAGCGAGGAGACAGGACTCACCTCCCAGGTTTTGCTGAGCCGAGACACAGCGCTGTTACTCAGCCCGAACGCCACAGCAAAAAAAGAATTCATGTTCTTTTGCTCTTTACAACTGGAAACGAGAGAGAGAGAGAGAGAGCACTTAACAATACATCACATTTACACAGCGCTTTTCACGTCAGAAGTTCATCCCAAGGCGCTGGACAGTCAGGGATTTGGACCAGTTATAAAACACTGGTGAGGCCTCAGCGAGAGACTGTGTGCAGTTCTGGGCCCCACACTTTAGGAAGGATGTCAAGGCATTGGAGAGGGCGCAAAGGAGATTGACCAGAATGGTACCAGGAATGAGGGACTTCAGTTATCGGGAGAGGCAGAGAAGCCGCGATTATTGTCCTTGGAGCAGAGAAGGTTAAGAGGAGGGGATTCGATCGGGCGATCAAGGAGAAACTATTCCCACTGGCGGGCGGGTGGGTAACCCGAGGGCACCGATTTAAAATAGTCGTTAAAAGAAACGGAGGGAAGGAGAAATGTCTTCACACAGCGAGTTGTTGGGATCTGGAGTGGTGCCTGAAAGGCCGGTGGAGCCGAGTCACTAACAGCTTTTAAGAGAGAAGTAGATAATTATTTGCGGAGGACAAGTTTGCAGCACTATGGGGAGAGAGCGGGGGAGTGGGGTTGATCAGGGCTATGGGGAGAGAGGGGGGGGGGGAGGTGGGGTTGATTTGAAAGCTCTTTTCAAAGAGCCGACAGACACGATGGGCAGAATGGCCTCCTCCTGTATTATTCTGTGATCCTATGGCCTGAGCTGGGGTTGGGATCAGGAGGGTGTGGAGGGCGAGGAGATTAGGGATGGGGTACTGTGGACCCAGATTCCCACCTGGAGTCAGGGCTGGAGACGCAGTAAAGCTCCCGCTACGAAGCCTTGATCTCGATTGCATCATCGTGTGAATGTTTTTTTGAAAGTTTATTAATAATAATAATCCTTTTGCCTTTGATGCAGCGCCGTATCAGGTCTCAAAGCGCTTCACAGGACGTACCATAAAGTGTGGCGACTGTGTATTTTGTGGGCGAAACTTAAGTACTGAAGAGTTGAAGACGTGTTAGCCCCTTCTCCCCTTCCCCCCACCCCCCCCTCCCGCCCCCACCATCGCCCGACGAAGGTCCTACTCACTAGGCAGCGAGTTTGATGAATTTTTTTGAGCAGTTGAACACGTTTGTCTAAGTCGCTGCACAGACAGATCTCTGTCACCACCCAGAACTGCAGGAGGTTGAAGCGATAGAGATAACGGTCAAAGTTGGCGGTGGTTCCGTGGGGAAACTTCTGTTTCCCGAAAGTGAAATACACCAACTCCACCTGGAGAGAGAGAACGAAAGAGAGAGAGAGAGAGAGAGAGGGAGGGAGGGGGAGAGTGAGAGAGACAGAGAGAGAGTGAGGGAGAGATAGAGAGAGAGTGAGAGGGATAGAGAGAGAGTGAGGGAGAGATAGAGAGAGAGGGAGAGATAGAGAGAGAGAGAGGGGGCGGTGGGAGAGAGACAGAGAGGGAGGGGTGGAGGAATAGAGAGATAGAGAGGGCGAGAGATAGAGAGAGAGAGAGAGCAGCGATCAGGAACAACTTATACAATAATAATAATCCTGGCATTTGATACAGCGTCTCATTACGTCTTCGAGACGTCTCAAAGCGCTTCACGGGATAAAGTGTAGTGACTGTGTGTTTTGTGGGTGAAACGCGGCAGCCAGTTGCGCGCAGCCGTTACCTCGTGGACAGAAGAGAACAGTTCCCAGTCGTACTCGGTCAGGTGAATGGCCAGGTCCTTAGAGCTGACGTGCTCCAGGGTGGCCAGGCTGCCGTGGTCGGCCAAAGCTGGTCTGGGTGTGGGACCTGCTGACACAGAGAGTGAGAGAGAGAGAGGGAGGGAGGGAGGGAGAGAGTGAGAGAGAGAGTGAGAGAGAGGGGAGAGAGTGAGAGAGGGAGAGAGAGAAGCAGAGAGTGAGAGAGACAGAGTGAGAGAGAGAGAGACGCAGAGAGTGAGAGAGAGAGAGGGAGGGTGGGAGAGAGTGAGAGAGAGAGGGAGAGAGAGAGAGAGAGAGAGGCAGAGAGTGAGAGGGACAGAGTGTGTGAGAGAGAGAGAGAGAGGCAGAGAGAGAGAGAGAGAGACAGAGTGAGAGAGAGTGAGAGAGGCAGAGTGAGAGAGAGAGAGGCAGAGAGTGAGAGTGAGAGAGACAGAGTGAGAGAGAGAGAGAGAGAGAGGCAGAGAGTGAGAGAGACAAAGTGAGAGAGAGAGTGAGAGAGAGAGAGGCAGAGTGAGAGAGACAAAGTGAGAGAGAGAGAGAGAGAGAGAGAGAGAGAGAGTGAGAGGCAGAGAGTGAGAGAGAGAGTGACAGAGAGACAGACAGAGTGTGTGTGGGGGCGGCTGCTCACCAGTGACAGCTGTTGGCCTCGGGGACAGACGTACAGTCGCTCGTTCAGTCGCAGTGAAGTGGCGAAGCAGCGAGTCCCCGGCCTCAGCTCCACACGGTCTGCAACGACAACAAATAATAATAAATAACAATAAATAATCAACAACAACAACAACAACAACAACAAGATTACGCGGGTATCGCGCCCGTCGCGGCGGGAGGACGTCCCAAGGCCCTGACAGTGACAGCGTTTCAATGAGTAATAATGCTATTTATTCAAATAATAATAAGTCAGAATTATTAATCATAAATAAATAAGAAACAATTAACAATAATAAATAACAACAATTATTAACAATAACAATAAATAAAAGTGATAGTCATTATGAATAATAATAACAATAATAATAATAACGGTAAATAATAACAGCGCCGCCCCCCCCCCCCCCCCCCCCCCCCCCGCGCCCCCCACTCACCTCCGGCTGAGTTGACCTGGACGAGCAGCAGCTCGTGGGTCGCCCTCTCCTCGAGGGCAGTGAGTACCTCCTGGGCCGAGGCATTGAGGGGCAGCAGCAGGCGGGCGAGGCTGTGGTCTGCTCGGTAAACCTGGTACATAACTGGGCAGGAGGGTCCGGGGGGGTTAACACCAACACCAACACCAACAACCCACGCAGGGCAGTGTCCCAGAGCGCTTGACAATGGCGGAGCACGACAACCGAGCCGGAGAGAGGGGGGGAGAGGGGGGAGAGGGGAGTGGGGGGGTGGGGGGAGGTGACCATACGCATGTTTGGAGAGGAGGTCTTCAGGCACGACCTGACGATGGGGAGGGAAGGGGTGAGACGGAAGGAGGGAGAGGGGGGGGCGGTTGCTGAGTTTCGGGGGGTAGTGGCTGAAAGCGCGGCCATCAATGGTGGACCTTAGGGGAGGAGGGGAGGAGGGGGCAATGTCCAGAGTAATGCTCCAGCGCAGGGAGTGTTGTTATTATTATTATTTTGAAGGGATTATTACCCCCCGGAAAGTGATCCCCCAATTGACTAACAACTGGGTTCCTACTGACTGCTGGGAACACAGGCGCGGGGGGGGTAAGGAAACTTGTCCACAAACACGCACACACACACACACACACACCCCCCCCCACACACACACACACATACACCACGCACACACACACACCAGACACCCTCCCCACACACACACACACATACACCACACACACCACACACATACACACATATACCCCACACACACACCACACACACACACACCACACACATACACCACACACACACACACACCACACCCCCCCCACACACATACACACATACACCACACACAACACACATACACACATCCCACACCCATACACGCATACACCATACACACATACACACACCCCCCACACACACACATACACCACACCCACACACACACACACCCGTACACCCCTCGCTCACAGCGAGGGGGCATCAATGGGATGGACTTACTCTTATCCTGAGTCCTGATGAGCTGAGAATCCTGACTGGTCTCCAGGTTTGGAAACCAGGGAAGGTTGTGCTTGATCTACAGAGAGAGAGAGAGGGAGGGAGGGAGGGAGTGAGAGAGGGGGAGTGAGGGAGAGAGGCGGTCGGGGGGGCAGGTGGGTGAGAAGAGGAGGGTGAGAGAGGGGGAGAGAGAGAGGAGGGACAGAGAGAGGTTCCAATTCAACCCCACTCCCCCGCTCTCTCCCCATAGCCCTGATCAACCCCACCACCCCCACCCGCTCTCTCCCCATAGCCCTGCAAACTTGTCCTCCCCAAAAAGGGGGGGAGAGAAGGGGGAGATCGCAGTGTTAACTCACAGTTCAGCACAAACTCATGTCCCAGAGAGAAAGAGAGTGTGTGAGAGAGAGAGAGAGAGAGAGAGGGAGATAGAGCTACTGAGTAATTACAACAACAACAAGATTCCCTTCTCTTTTCCTAATCCTTAACGTCCGCCCGACTGGGGGAGTGCGTGAGATGTTACACACTTCAATCTCTCCCTTTCTCCCCCTCCCGCTCCTTCCCCCACCCTCTCGCTTTGCCACTGTGACACAGTCACTACACTCACCAGCCTCGGACTCACCTGTCTCATAGTCGGAGCTGCTGAGGTGTCGGGCAGCGGAGTCTGTAACACACAACAACAACAACGCAGGACATTTACACAGCAGCAAGACTGGGGTGGGGGGGTGGGGGTGGGGTTGGGTGGGGTAGGGGGGTTGGGTGGGGGGTGGGTGGTTGGGGGGGGGGTGGGTGGAGTGGGCTCTGGCTTCGTTGTGATGTATGTTCAGTGATCCTGGATCTGGAGAAACTGCCTCAGACACACAGAACCTGGAGTGTTCCTCACAGGGACGTGGGGATTTACTGACGAAAGAAATCCAAGGTCCATCCAGTTTGCCTCTCACCATCCATCCTGTCAGTCACTTGACATGTCCCCCCCCCACAACTACATACTGTCCCCCTCCCCCCCCTCCCCCCGATATTATTTTCTATCAGAAATCGATCTCATTTCTTCTTGAAACAGACAACATTTTCGAGGCTGTTACGTTTCTTACTCTCTCACTGAAGTAGTGTTTTCTGCAGATTCGTTCTGAATTCCCCCCAAACCCCCCCACCCCCGCTCCCCCCCACTAACAGTCTCTGTTTCGCCCACAGAATACACAGTCACTACACTTTACAGTATATCCCGTGCAGCGCTTTGAGACACCTCGACGATGTGATAAGGCGCTGTAACAAATGCAAGGATTATTATTATTATTATTAACACTCAAACCCACACCCAACACTCCACCTCAGACCTAACCCCTAACCCTGTCAAACACACTAACCCCCTCTCACAACCGCCCCCCAAAATCGGATTGATTGACTGTGATCAACTCTGACACCTGGCAATGTGGGTGTCACATCCCTCTTTAATAATAATAATAATAACAGTAATAATTATCCTAATAATCCTTGCATTTGTCAGACCCAGTGCCTTATCGCGTCTTCAAGACGCCTCCAAGCGCTTCACAGCAAAACACAGCAGCCAACTGCTCCCAGCGACGTCCCCACAAACAGGCGTGGGATGAGTGACCAAATTATTATTTTTTTAAAAATTTGGGGGGGGAAGCGATTATTACGCCCAGAAAATCGATCCGTTAATTGACTAACAACCGGGTTCCTATTTACTATTGGTAAACAGAGGCGAGTGTGTGTGTGTAGAGTAAGGAAACTTGTCTGAGGTTTCGCCCCGACCTGCAATCGAACCTGGGTCCTCTCGCTTGCAAGGCGAGCGCTCTAACCACTGAGCTACAGGACCCCAAATAATCTTTGCACTTGACATAGCACCTTATAAAACACTGGTGAGGCCTCAGCGAGAGACTGTGTGCAGTTCTGGGCCCCACACTTTAGGAAGGATGTCAAGGCATTGGAGAGGGCACAAAGGAGATTGACCAGAATGGTACCAGGAATGAGGGACTTCAGTTATCGGGAGCGGCAGAGAAGCCGCGATTATTGTCCTTGGAGCAGAGAAGGTTAAGAGGAGGGGATTTGATCGGGTGAACGGGGAGAAACTATTTCCACTGGCGGGCGGGTCGGTAATCTGGATAGAGTGTGGACAGAGATAAAAGATAACAAGGGATCAATCACACAAATAGGGGTTCTCTACAGACCACCTAACGGCGGAAGGGAGGCAGAGGAAGAAATGTGCAAGCAAATTAGGGAAATGAGTAAAAGACAGAGTAATAATCATGGGGGATTTTAACTACCCCCAAATAAATTGGCAAGGAGATAGGTA